CCTTTAAGTAGACCCTAAACCCTAAACCCTAAACCCTAAACCCTAAACCCTACTTACGAAAACATGGCACAAAAAAAAAGGAGCCCCACCCTAAACCCTAAACCCTAAACCCTAAACCCTAAACCCTAAAGAGGCCCGGACGGAGGGCTGCGGAGCCTCGGCGGGCGTCTCGGGGCTCATGGGCTTCGGCCTCGGCACGTTTCTGCATCTCGGCTCACTTCCGGTTGTGATTTAGGGTTCAGGGTTTAGGGTTTAGGGTTTAGGGTTTATAATAGGGTTCAGGTATACTATAATTGCGAAAAGGAACACCCCCCAAAATAGTATTGGTAGTATTGGTAATTCTTTTAGGCCCCTATATCATTCTTAGCTGACTAGCTGAAGCCTTTGGACTTTGGAGATACCACCCTGTTAGACCACTGAAAGCACCTTGAAGGAAGAGCCCAGGTATCAGTTATGGGAGGCCGAGAGCTACAGCAGCCACGGCGGCAGCCTCGGGGGCGGTCGGCGCCGGGATGCCCAGCGCCAGCGCACGGCCGTGGAGTCGCAGCGGCCTCAGCTGACTTCCGAAGCAGATGGTGCCATCCAACGCCCCGAAGCTTTTGATGAGGATGGCGTCCCTCCTCAATCTCGTACAGTCTGCCCAGTTCCTAGCAGAGGCATGCGGGTGCTTTTGGTCTCAGTTTCGGGCGTCTTCGGCAGAACTGAGTAGCAGGAGGCTCAGGGTTTTCGTGCGGTAACCGGGTAAACTCTGGTATCCCTTACGACCTGTAGCATTTGGGGTTTGGGGTTTCGCGAAGGCACACCATCAGGAGAGGTTGGCCAATGAAGGCGGATTGGACGAAGGGCTACATGTAAAGAGTCCCCGGATGGTAGTTGAAGATTCACGCCGTTTGCAGATTGGCAGCTTTCCATGAATCTCATGCGAGCCCGATCCAAACACCTCGGAGAGCTCCTACGAAAGTTCCTGTCTAGTTCATGAGCCTCCATTCTGGGCACCAAAGCACCCCTCTACCTTCGCTGCTACAGCAGGCAGATCCTAAGCCCCTGCAACCTTGACCAGTACCCCTCGAGGTTTACTGCTAGTGGCCAAGCCTTGTGCGATGTATCACAAGTAACTTAACTACGATAAGACTACGAAATGAATACGAGCGGGAGTGCAACAGGAGATACGAGCGGCAATCCAGCAGCAGCAGAGAATGCAAAAACAATGCGGAAAAGATTCCAACAACAATACAAGAAAGATGCAAGACGGGATGCCTTTGATGGGAATCTGTCCCCCCCACAAAGACTTGGTAACACGAATGCAAGAGTAATACAATGAAATACGTCTCGTATTTCTTCCCAGCAGCACGACGGTTCTCGCATTTCTCTCGCATTTTTATCGTATGTTCGCACGTAGTTTTTCTTAACTTTCCCTTCGAAATTGAAAAACAATACGAGTAGTTGGGCTGGGCTGGGGCTAGTGCCGGCGGCGGGGGCTCGCGGGTCGCATTTCTCTCACACTCTTCTCGCATTTCTTCCCAGCAGCACGAGGGTTCACGCATTTTTCTCGTATTGTTTTGTATGTTCGCTCGCTTTTCGCCCCCAGGAAAATTAAGACAAATACAAAGTGTTGTTGCTCGTTTTCATCGTAGTCTTCGTGTATGTTTTTGTTTTCTCGTCCACTTATGTTTTGTATTTTGCTTGTATTTTCTCGTATCTTTATCATGTTTTCTCGTACTGCTCCTCATACTTTCGTTGTACTCCGTTTTGACGTCGAACACTCAACCCGTATTTTGATCATATTCTTTCATATTTGTCTGATGTTTGTTCTTGTATCTGTTCCCTTGTTTATCTCGCAATTATTTGTTTTTAGTACTTCCCAATGATTCCAGGCCGGCACCCGTCGCAATCCTAGCCGTCCCTTTCGCAGCCCCCTGTACAACCTATACAAAGCGTTTCAATCCTAAACCCTAAACCCTAAACCCTAAACCCTAAACCCGTGAAGCAGGAGTGGCGGTCCATGAAAGGCGACGCGGGGCTCACTGGTGTGGACCACGTCGGGCACTTGACAGGCCAGGGGGAGTCAAACCAGTGCGGCAAGCACGCACCCAGGCTCATATAGGGGCCCTGATAATTATAAGAGGGTGAGTATAGGTAACTATTTTAGACCCCCTGTAGTCAGGGCCCATTTCCAGTCTCTTTTTGTTTAGTCTAGAGCCTATGCGGTTTAATTATAAGAGGGTGAGTATAGGTAATTATGTTAGGCCCCCTATATTCAGGGCCAACTTCCAGTCTTTTTTTGTCTAGTCGAGAGCTTCATGGGTTTTGGGACTCCACGCCCAAGCCGAAACCCGAGCTGCAAGCCTGAACGGTGACGAGGAAGCATCCAAACGCCATGGCTTTCTGAAATTGCGGTCCCTAAACCCTAAGCCCTAAGCCCTAAACTCAAACCGCAAGCCTTGAACCCGAACTCTCATGCCTGCTTCCCAAGCCCCACATCCCGAGATCGAGACCCCACATCATTACCCCAAGCCGCACGAAGCTCTTTGAGCTCCGACCCAAGATTACCAACCGAGCAGCCTAGGGCTCAACTTTGAACCCTAAACCCGAAACCCTAAACCCTCATTGAATGCCTGTGGAAAGCCCCATTAGACAACCTCGCCTGTGAGCATAGTCCTCAGCCATGCGAGAGGGAAAAAACCCTAAACCCTGAACCCAGAACCTCGGAAGCCTTAAGCCCCAAACCCGAGCCCCACGATCCTGAAACGCGCTGCTCCCAAACCCTTGCGCCCCTGTTGACAGGCTTCGGTGTCGGCTTCGTTCCCGGGAGCCAAAGCTGTTCTCGGGGATGTGAACGGGGTGTGGGATCTAGGGTTGAGGATTTAGATCTTTATTTGTGGAGTGGTCTCAGTTCTTTTGACGGAGCGACCGCTGGGAATACGATTCATTAAGAGAACCCAGCTGTTTGGGACAAGGGGCACAGTACCTTGTCCAGGTTTCATAAGGTCTGTGTTTTCGGCCAGTTCCAAGCCCAAGAAGCAGAGGCAGCCTCTTAGCAAAAAGCATCTAAAGCCCTAAAGCCCTAAAGCCCAAAAGCCCAAAAGCCCAAAACCCTAACCCTAAATCTTAAACCCTACATCCCCACAGCCCTGAAGCCCTGAAGCCCTAAAGCCCTGAACCCTGAGAGTGAGAGTCGAAACCCTAAAGCCCCAAAGCCCTAAAGCCCTAAAGCCCCAAAGCTCTAAAGCCCCTGAACCCCTCCTCCTAGACCTCCACTTAGAGGATCATGGGACTTAGTAAGTAAGGTTATAAGCCCCTTAATTGGGGTTATAAGTATAGTTACCTTAATTCTAACCCTACTTACTAAGTCCCATGATCCTTTAAGTATGGGGACCCCTAATCCTAATACCCTAT